AATGACTTGTCAGAAGGTTCCAGGAGGAGGGACCTGAACACTGGCAAATCATTGATGACTATTATTGATAGATGATTTATTTATTGATGATGATGATGATGATGATGATGATTAGATAGATGAATGAATTAGATGAATGGAAATGAATCAAGATAGATATAGATAGATAGATGAATTCTTTTGTGGAAATGGAAGAAGATCTAAAAGCCAGGCTGTCTCTGCCTTTTTCACAGTGGTGTCCCTACTCCCAGAAGAGCGCTTTACACAAAGTAGGTGCTCAATAGGCAAATATGTTTAAGATTTAATATTAAGCTGAATTAGGAAAGTTAAACTCTGTTCCCGAAAGAAAATTCTTGTTCCCAAAGTCCATGCTATCAATACCAGAAGTGTGTGAAATCTGAAAGCTGAGAGGGGAGGGCAGCATCAGGCACCACAAAGTTGACAAGTTGCCGACATGGTAGCTAATCATGACCTTATGGGTGAAAAGTAAGCATAGGAAGAAACATACTTACTGGCTTGTTATGAAAGCAATTTGTGTGAAATGGTAAGATGTGCTTTGTTTTAGCTGGCTTCATGATCATGGAAAGAGTCAACCAAACCAGCAGTGTTTCTGAGTTCATCCTCCTGGGACTCTCCTCCCAGCCTCAAGACCAGAAGCCACTCTTTATCCTCTTCCTCACCATGTACCTGGTCACCATAACAGGGAACCTGCTCATCATCCTCGCCATCCACTCTGACCCCCAGCTCCAGACCCCCATGTATTTCTTCCTGAGTTTCCTGTCCTTCACTGACATTTGCTTTACAACAACCATTGTCCCCAGGATGCTACTGAGCTTCCTGTCAGAGAAGACCATCTCCTATGCTGGGTGTCTGACACAGATGTATTTTATTTACGTTCTGGGCAACACTGACAGCTTCCTCCTGGTGGTCATGGCCTTTGACCGCTATGTGGCCATCTGTGACCCCTTCCACTATGTCACCACCATGAACCACCACCGCTGTGTCCTGCTGGTGGCCTTTTCCTGCTCATTTCCTCACTTCCACTCACTCCTACACACACTGCTACTGAATCGTCTCACCTTCTGTGACAACAATGTTATCCATCACTTCCTCTGTGACATCAACCCTCTGCTGAAATTGTCCTGCTCCTCCACATTTCTCAATGAAATCGTGATAATGTCAGAAGGTTCTGTTGTTTTGGTGACCCCCTTTGTGTGCATCACCTTCTCTTATAT